GGAACAAAAATGGGAGATCAGCCGGCTGCAAATCAAAGCACCAGCCTGCAACATAATCTGCATTCCAAGGATACTTCTGGGTCCCAAATACATCCCAATTTCCAGAGAATTCTTGGAAAATGAAATGGCACAAGATTCCAAGAAAGTGCTTTCTTTGGAAGGGATCCCACTTGTCTACAAAAAAGACAAAAGGAAGTGGAACAGGTAAACAGCAATCTGGGAAACTAAAGATGATAAGGATCCAGGGGTGAAATTCAGCCGGTTCTATCCGGCTCAGGCGAACAGGTAGCGGCGGCTGGGGAAGGCTCCGCCCACTCACGCGGATGTCATGATGTCACTTTTTTGTGATGATGTTAAGGAAGTAAGGGAAGGTAAGGATCCCTTTGCCAGTACAGAGATAAAATAGATAGGGAAAAGATGGGAGAAAATAATCAGAAAAATAGAAACCCAGATGATGCCTAGGTAAAAGGAGAAAGGGGAGGGGGGAGGTAAAAGGGAAAAAGTGAGATTATTATAAAAATGTACACAAATTATGAAATAGATATAAATGTTAATCAAATAACAAATTGAAATGAGAATAGAGATAAATAGAAAATCGGGGCAGCTCGACTACCATTACAGATTGAACTGAAAAGGGAAACAACAAGAGAGAGGGGAAGGAGTAGAGAGAGAAGAAGGGAGAAGAGAGGAGAGGGAGAGAAAGAAGAAAGGGAAAAGGAGAGGAAGAAAAGAGAGGGGAAAGAGGAGCAGGAGAGAAGGTTAGAAGGGGGAAGAAGAGAGGAGTGGGGGAAGGGAAGGGGAAGTAGGAAAGAGAAGGAGAGGAAGAACGAAGAAAGTAGGAGGAGATAGAGGAAGGAAGAGAAGGGGAGGAGAAGAAGAAAGGTTGTGGCAAAATAAAAAAGGGTAAATGGTAAAAGAGCGCTTCAAGGTACTGGTTACCACCTTTAAAGCCTCCATGGCATCGGACCTGGGTATTTGCGGGACCGCCTTCTGCCGCCAATAGCCTCCCACCGGCCAGTACGCTCCCACAGAGAGGGATTCCTCAGGGTGCCGTCAGCTAGGCTGTGTCAGATGGTGACCCCCAGTGGGAGGGCCTTCTCTGTGGCAGCACCTGCCCTCTGGAACGATTTGCCCCCGGAGATACGGAGGATATCAGATCTCCGGGCTTTTTGCCGCGCCCTAAAAACTTTTCTCTTCCATCAAGCAGGGCTGGCGTCAAAACCCCCCCCCCGTTTTTGAGATATTAGATTTTTAATTGTTTAATGGGTTTTAGTCGTAAGGTTCTTAATTTTTGGCCAAAGGGTATAATTCTTTTAAATTTTTAAATTTTGTATTGGATGTTTTTTACTTGGCTGTGCACCGCCCTGAGTCCACCAGGAGAAGGGCAGTATAAAAATTTAAATAAAATAAATAAATAAATAAAAGAGCAGCCCCAAATAAGTAAAAATTAAAAATGAAAGTTAAAAGATAAGATGAATGAAAAATGGTGGATAAATGACTGTACATGTAAATATGTTTATGAGAAATAAAAATAAAAACTTTTTGAAAAAAAAAAAAACTTTTGCCTTCTAGAGTAGTGCAAAATTGTGATCCAGTCCAGCATAGAGACACCACTGTACTTATCTTTAAGGAGTAATTCACAGATACAGTCAGTTTGGGCTAGTGGTTAAGAGATTCGGCTAGAATTCAGGAAACCATAATTTTCCAGACCTGCCTCAGGCACAAAGCCATCTTGGGTCAATCAGTCTCTCCCAGCCCTAGGAAGGAGGCCAGGGCAAACCACTTATAAAATCTTGCCAAGAAAACTTCAAGACCAAGTCTAGACAGTTGCCAAGAGTCAAGACTGACCTGAAGGTGCCAAAAACAAATAAACCAAACAACAACAACAATAAAAACAGTTGGCATGCTCATACAACATCTGAATCAGCTTTCCTGCTTTGGATCTGAATACTATAGGCTTTTTATGACTTAGCGTGGATAAAGATGGCAGACACTCTTTGCTTACGCCATACTTTCAAGATTCCAAATCTTCCTACCAGCCCACAAAGGTGGAGGATTTTTGCTTTACTTCTTTGCATGTTCTGTTTCTTGGGTGATGCAATGAAAAAAATGAAGCTGAGCTATCTAGATGTATTAGCAAAACAGAGCCACCCTTTTTGCTTGTTTGCTCACCTTTGGTCAATGATTGGTATGGTGGAAAGAATATTTGGGATCAATTGCAGCATTATATAAATCAGTGAGGCAAATTGTATTGATTTGCAAACTGCAAAACTCACATATTTTAACTATTGATTCATGGAACACAGCACAACTGCCTTTGTTGATAGGCCAATAGTATGGTATATCTCAGAACAAAACCTCACCCTCTATTCTTTTAGTCTTTTGTGCAAGCTATTTGTCTTCTCTAGCCCTCTCTCCTATCAGCATTAATAGCAGTTGTGACCATAAAACAGATTTTTGTTGTGAGTGTATTTATTTGGAGAAGGTTACAATCCACAAGCACAATAATAAAACCAAGTAAAATAATTAATATATTTGTCAGAAAGGTACTGTAAAACATATTTTATTTATATTTCTACCTTTATTATTTTGATAATTCAAGGCAGCTAACATACTTAATACCCCTTTCTCCTCCTATTTTCCCCACAACAACCCTCTGAGGTGAGTTGGACTGAAAGAGTGACTGGCTCAAAGTCACCCAGCCGGTTTACATGCCTAAAGTGGGACTAGAACTCACAGTCTCCCAGTTTCTAGCCTGATGCTTTAACCACTACACCAAACTGGCATATTAATAGTAAATAATAATGATAATAATGATAATGATAATGATAATGATAATGATAATAATAATAATAATAATAATAATAATAATAATAATAATAACCACCTAACCCCAAATGCAGACTCTGCAAAGAAGCAGATGAAATCATTGATCATAAACTGAGCGGTTGCAAGACAATAGCTGAGACTGATTACAAACAACGTCATAACACAGTCACTCAGATGGTCCACTGGAACTTGTGTCACAACTAGCAAGAGCCTTGGTAGTACAGGGGTTTAAGGCACCCTGTTATTAAGCTGGTTATTAAGACCAGCTGCCTGCAATTACTGCAGGGTTCGAATCTCTCCAAGGCTCAAGGTTGACTCAGCCTTCCATCCTTTCTAAGGTAGGTGAAATGAGGACCCAGTTGTGGGGGCAATAAGCTGACTTTGTATAAATATACAAAAAGGATGAAGGCTATTGCTGAGCACATTGTAAGCCGCCCTGAGTCTTCGGAGAAGGGCGGCATATAGATCAAATTTAAAAAAAAAAAAAAACTACCACCTGCTTGTAGCAAAGAACTGGTGGGATCATAAGCCTGAAAAAGTGGTCGAAAATGAGCATGCAAAACTACTGTGGGACTTCCGAATACAGATTGACAAAGTTTTGGAACACAATCACGATTGTGGAGAAGAAAAAGGTGTGGATCATTGACATTGCCATACCTGGTGACAGCAGAATCAACGAGAAACAACTTGAAGAAGTCACCAGATACCAGGACTTGAGAATCGAACTGCAGAGACTCTGGCATAAACCAATGCAGGTGGTCCTAGTGGTACTCGGCACACTGGGGGCTGTGCCTAAAGACCTAGGCAAGCACTTAAAAACAATTGGCGCTGACAAGATCACCATTGGTCAGCTGCAGAAGGCCACCTTACTGGGATCTGGTCGCATAATCCGCCGATACATCACACAGTCCTAAACGCTTGGGAAGTGTTCGACTAGTGATTTGGGATACGAAATCCAGCATGGTTATCTCATTTGCTGTGTATACTGTCAACAACAACAACAACAACAATAATAATAACTAGTAAACTTCATAGTAATGAAGAAGAAATATTAGATATCCCTTAAAATATGAGTGTGAAGTCTCAGAAGTAAAAGAAGACCAAAGAATGAGTATCACAACAGAGAAGACCCTCAATTCTCCATATATGCAGAGATGCATCTTCACAATGCCCTGTATATATATATTAATGCTATTTAAACATCATTACTAGATCTTTCACATTTACCTGTTAAGCTTTAGGTAGCCCATACAGTTGTAGAGGAACAGTGACAAGTGCTCTTTAAAGGGTGCTCTGCATAAAATTTGCAGCCACGTTGAGTATTACCAGCAATTTCCCAGTTGTCTTCAAAGCAAATCTCCATAGGACACATGGCTGTTGTCAAAACTGGAGCTTAGAGGACCGTAGCTAAGTTATTTCTGTGAAAGAAAGAACGTGGCCAGCTAACTATAATAACAAAATGTATATTGTGATGCCACAATGCAACTTCATACCTTTTGTACCTGTTGCAGGCAAGTGCCTAAGGGGCAGTTTGCATTACAATAGCAATAGCACTTAGACTTATACACCACTTCATAGTGCTTTTACAGCCTTCTCTAAGCGGTTTACAGACTCAGCCTATTGCCCCCAGCAATCTGGGTCCTCATTTTACCCACCTCGGAAAGATGGAAGGCTGAGTCAACCTTGAGCCTGGTGAGATTTCAACTGCTGAACAAGAGTTATCATGGATTTTCTCCCAGGCAGGGTATGACAAGATGGCACCCCCAATCATGGTGTGGTTGAATCTTGAGGGCTGCTTTCAGGCAGCATAAACCCAATCCCAATAAACCACTTGAACAATAGGGCAGGCTTGAAAGGGGGATAAATTGCGAATAGGATGGCAACGCTCCTTTTTTTTTTTTTTTTTTTTGCCTCTAAGCATAACGATCCTCCTAGCCAAGGCGCTAAAATGATGGCGGCAAGATAAAGGAGGCTGTCGCTTTCTCTAGATCGCGCACGTTTTCATTCCCCGAGGGAAAAAAATGCCTCCTTCTCGTATGTCCCCCCGTCCCCCCCACCCCCGGTGGCACCAGAGGGGAGAAGAGCCTGCTGTTGATTCTCGGTTGGCCTGACCCTCCCCGGGAGGAGATCCAGAGTTAGGGTTCGTCTCCAGGCCCCCGTTGCGCCCTAGGCGCGCGTTCAGCCTTCGGCGGAGTTTTAGGTAGACGGAAGACGCGCTCGGAAGTGGCAAAGGGAGACGGCGGGGAGGCAAGCTGCGCTTCCCCGGACTGGCGCTTTTCCAGCCGAGCCCCTTCAGCGGCCGCCGAGAGGATTTGGCATAATAAGTCGTCTCCGCACGTGCCTGCGCCATCCACCCGTGGGCGTGGCGCAGCGTGGCGCGTAAAAACTCTCTCTAGCAAAGCGAGGGCTGGAGACGAGCAAAGCGGCTGGGCTTCCAGGAGCCGGCAGAAGGAGGAGGGGCTGCTGCTTAACCGGCTGAGCCAAGCGAGCGAGCGAGCGAGCAAGCAAGCGAGCGGTTTCCTTGGCAGGCACCGAGTATGGCTTCGTCGCAAGGCAAGGCTGAGTTGAAATTCGCCGACTGGATGGCAAGTTTGCCCGAAAGCATCCACAGCGTGCCGCTGGCAAACCTGGCCATCCCAGGTAAGAACCGGAGTCGTTGGAGAAAGACAGGGAGGGGGGCATTGATTTTTTTTTAATTTTTTTTTTGTTGGATGTTTTGCTTGGTTTCATTGGTGGGAAGCTGCGAGACGGTTGAGTCTTGAACGCGCCGGGAATAGCTCCTCTGCCTTCTCGGAAAGGTGACATTGGACGCCGTCTCCGTGCAGCGCCTGCTATCTGATGGGGATTGATAAATGAACGTGATGGCGGACTGGGGATCATGACATACCTCCCCGTTTTGTAACGACGATCTGTCTGTACGAGACATCCCGAGCTTCGGCTTCAGCTTAGGTAGATGGCCACGAGATCTAAATAGGAGTCGTATCGCTATCCATGGTGCTGAAATATTCCCCGCTCTCCGAGACCTAGCTTGTATTCAGAGAACAAGAGAAGAAAGTTACGGCTCATGGAACCATATATTTTTAGCCGTCTTTTCCGGACTTTTAGACTGCATAGATAGATCGATATCTCTATAACACCCTGGAAGGGTCCCACAAAGTGATGTGCGTGGTGAAATCACTTTGGTTTGTCCACACATTGTATGTTTTCTTTTTGATTCATTAATACACTTCCCTACTATTCTGTAAGATAGCAACTGTAATTCAGATAAGATTTGGGTTTTTTGTTTTTTTTTTTGCCCTGAACCGGACACATCAGTATGCACACACCACGTCCTACCCCATCACTCTGTTTACCACACTGGGGAAGTTGTGTATTTGAACCAGCAGACAGTTAATACTATGCCCCTGACACGTGAAGTTAAGATGAAAATCTAACCATTCTGCTATGAAGTTGGCGGGTTCACACATTTGCTTGCTGCTGCAGTGACTGAGTAATGGATGTGCATGTTAAAAAGGTATATTCATGTAGGGAGACAAGCAGTTCAATTCGGTGCTGAAATATAACTGGTTGGCAAAAGCTTTTGAGATTGCTACTGCTGACGTACCATAAAACATGAAAAATCTGCTAGTATTCAAAATAGGCACTGCTGTCATTTCAAAATTACCTACCTCCACAAAACCTGTAAGAAATAACCATGGTGGGACAGGGAGCTTTGAATAGCAAAATCTTATTTCTCCTTTGAAGGTCTTGAGGGAAGTTTGTCTCATTGTTATCTTACCTGGCAGGATTGTTGTGGAGGTAGATTATTATAAATTTTGTTATGTTCTTGGAGAATGCAATTATTGACATGATTGTGCTGTGAGCATTTTTCTTCACAAAAAAAAGTCAGCTTCCAAAAATAGTAAATTTTCTTAACACACACAGACATGAAGAAAAGGATGTGGTTATTCATCTGAATAATTGAGACTTTGTTGTTGTTGAGTTTGTTTCATTGTTCTTTCTTGCTCATCAATACCTTCTAAAATCTCCTGGTTTATATCACCTTGAGTTTTTTCTATGAATATCTAGTATACTGTATACAGGTCTGGATCCCAACCACTTCAGCTTTATATCTGCATAAATAATAAATCATTGTGGTATACCTTTTAAGCTGCCTTTATGAAAATCTCTACGTGTTAGGTGCATATTAGATCCAAATGCCCAGTGTACAACATTTGTAATAATACCGGAGGATGAAAAAGGAATTTAAAGAATGCATATGTGTGAGGGGGGGGGGTTAAGTAAGTTTCAGCCTTGTGTTCTATATGATCTGGAAAAAGGATGTATTTTTAAATTTTAGTAGACTTTAGGCTAAAAACAATGCTTACTTATTTGGTGTAATCAATAAAACAATATAGACCAGCTAGAAGGAAGTTGTACCTAATTATGAAAACAGATGATACTTCAAATATTTCCATGCATTTTTGCTACTTGTACTTAGTAAAGGCAAAAAGAAGACAAAACAGAGGTAAAATTAGAGGGTTTCTGGGGGATGGATATATTCTAATATGTTCTCTTAATGAATACCTGATTTGAAAAGGAATTTGTTTGCAAAAAGCATTTTGACAAAAGGGGGAGGGTGAGAGAGAAACCTTTTATATTCTGTAGTACAAAGGAATTTTCTGTTAATTGCTAATTGAAATCTAATATATGCTAATTGAAATCTAGTGCATGCAAATAGGTTAATTGCTCTGACATAGAAAGTGGATAGCTTGCTGATTGGTGATGTGTTTATTTGGCTAGTTAAATTTAAAAACAAAACACAATTATTTGTCTCTCTTTTATGCCCCCCTCCCATCACAATAAGTTTTTTTTTGTTTTTTTAAAAAATCATCTTAAGCACTATAGTTAGATAACCTTTCTTGATTACTGAGTAATTCAGGTGCCAGGACTACAGTGAGGAGTAAGTTTGTGGTACAGCATGAATGGCATTTAACAATAGACGATGAGACCATCTGTGGGTGGTTGGCATTTAATCTTGCTGTTGAACACACTCCAGACATGTCATAGCTCAGTTGTAATGCACCTGCTTTGCATGCTAAATATCTCAGTTTTGTTCCTTGATGTCTCTAGGTATTGCTGGGAAAAGCTGTAGCTGAAGAAATCGACAGCTTAGCCCATGCTGAGGAGCTAGGCTTGATATTGAAATTGGGAGCCCATTGCGAGTCCTTTCAGAGTAGATTGCTCTGGACAAGAAACAGGTGGAAATAATACATGAGAATACTCTTAATTTTTAATGATAACTGCAAAATATAGCTTGAATCTGAGAAAGACTCATGTTGTTTCCTTTGATGGTTCTACTAGTCTCTGACCTCCTAATTATAAGGTGTATGTATGCTCATGGGAAGTATCGTAACTGGAAGACATTGGCTATACTAGTGAATATTTTTATAACTCTGCTGCCTTTTGGGGGGGGTTCTCTGTGCAAGACAAGAAGTGTTAGTTTGAAAATCCTCCCCCCCCCCAAATCAAAGGCCAATTGTGCCATTGTCTGGAACTGGTTGCATGCACTTCCTTCTTTCCTTCAGTTTTTTCTGACTTCATCCTCTAAACATGTTGCACCATAGTACACCTCTTATCAGAGAGGCTCTTGGACCATGTGAGTCAGAGATCTTAAAACTTGGCAGCTTTATGACTTGTGGACTTCAACTCTGGGAGTTGAAGTCCACAAGTCTTAAAGCTGCCAAGTTTTAAGACCTCTGGTGTAAGTGATCTGAAAGCAGAGTTGAGAAAAGTGACTTTGTTCCAAAGTCACCCTTGGGATTTCATTCCTAAACACTAATTTGAATTGACCTTGGCAATATCGATAACACCTTTGGTTCTCTTTCATTGAGAGTAGCAAAAGATAATTCCCTTTTTCTTATGGCAGTTGCAAGCATTCTGAGGTCCCCAGGGTGTGTGTGTCAAACTGAGGTTATTAAAAGCAGGAGGAGACCTGAGAAAAAGAGCTTGATGTATCAATGCACTCTTCCTATACTTACAGGTACAGGTAGAGTGCATTGTACCTGTAAGTTCAGGTACGTACTTGGAGTAAGTTCCTATGATTGTGAGTGGATTACTTCTACTAAACATTTATGGAACTATACTGAAAGAATCTTCTGCCAGACCATGACAAACGTACACAATTTTGGGTTGATTTAAATCTTAAATCTTCTGAATTTAAACATGATAACTAAACTGGACCCAACAATTGCATAGTTAATTATTTAAAACTTTATTCTATCTATGAATTTGGGAAATTATAGTCCCAACGTATTTGAAGAGCACCCAGAGGGCATCTTTTAAAAAGTTGTGTTATTGATATTTATGTTTGATTATTAAAGTAGATCCCAGGGTTTTTCCAACTGCTTTGTAAAACTCTTACCTACCGTACTTTTGTCAGCAACAACAACCCTATGAAAGAGGTTCAGCTGATTGGCCCAAAGTCACCAAGAGAACTTCCATATTTTTGAGAGTCTGGATCTCAACCATTCTGACTCCAGTATGTAACCAGTACACAGTCCTCGACTTGTGACCGGTTGCTTATTGACTGACCAAACTTATGATTGAACCTCCCTAAAGGTATTTATGATCCAATTCTGACCCAGTTCTGATGGCCAGTTCCCACAGTCACATGATCGCATTTTGAGCGCTCGGCAACTGGCCCACATTTATGGCCTTTTGCAACATCCTGCTGTCACATGCAATTTATGACATTTTTGCTGAAAATCAACATTTATGTCTGGTTTCTGGCAAAAATGGTCATGGGTTTGCTTAATGACTACCGCATTCACTTAACAGCCACCGCAAAAGTTGTAAAATCAGGTCAGTTCCCATGGTTTACCCTTTTTATTTCCATTACGACTTATGACCATAATTGCTAGGCTCAATTACAGTTGTAAGTTTAGGATGACCTCTACTTAAATTGTGATGTTCATGTGTGTGTGTGTGTGTGTGTGTGTGTGTGTGTGTAGATTGTTTTCATTAAATATCTTTCTAACTTTCCCCTGCATATATTTCAATTGATCAATTAATATACTGATCACTTTTAGCTGTAAATTTAGAGAGAATATTCCCTTCAAGAAAGCATATTAAAATGATGCTGAAGTTGGCTACTTATTCCCAGTTTTGCTTTCATGAACAATTTTTGAGGAGATTCAATGAATCCATACACACACACATACACACACAAACAGAGAGAGAGAGAGAGAGGGAGAGAGAGAGTGTGTGTTCATATAATGCTGAGTCTAATATTAAGCATAGTTTTAGCCCCCTATCGTATCTTGATGATTAGTTACTCTGTCCTTTAAGATAAGTCTTCTAATGAAAATAATAATTTTTTGTGCAAATTCGGTAGTGTGCAAATCAGCCTTTCTGTCTGTTTCCCCCCACCCCTGCAAGTGTTGCCCTCTAACTTCTAAAATTCCCAGTCTTTGGCTATGCTGGAAATTCTTGGATTTAATGTCCCATAACATTTAGAAAGTGTTGAGTTAGGGAAGGTAGGTATGTTCTATAAGACTGGAAAATTGCTTAGTGGTTTACTTCTTGTTGCAGACCAAGAGTACACATCTACCTATACAGACATAAAGTCTGACATATTGTTTGATTATTATTTGTGTGTG